TATAGGACAAAGGTGAAGGAAAAAGTAGGACCTCTGAAATCTGGGAATGGACAGCTGACGGATAATGAACTGGAAATGTGTTCCTTATTTAATGACTATTTTTTGTCAGTTTTTACACAGGAAGATGTAAATGAGATTCCAGTAATTAACAATTATTTAGTTCCTGATGAATTTAAATTAACTAATATTACTGTCACGAGGGACATGGTTATTAAACAGATAGACAAACTGAAACAAAATAAGTCCCCGGGACCCGATGAGTTGTTTTCAAGGGTACTTAAGGAATGCAAGATGGAGCTTAGTCAGCCATTAATGAGTGTATTCAATGTGTCCATCCTTACCAGTGTTGTGCCAGAGTTGTGGAAGATGACTAATGTGGTTCCTATATTCAAATCAGGGGATAAGTCCACTACTTCAAATTACCGTCCAATAAGCCTGACATCTATAGTGGGCAAGTTATTAGAATCAATTATAGCTGACATTATCAGAAGTCACCTTGAAGAGCATAACTTGATAAATGAATCTCAGCATGGATTCACGAGAGGTCGTTCCTGCCTGACAAACTTACTGACGTTCTTCAATAGAACATTTGAGGCAGTTGACAGTGATAAGGAATATGATATTGTTTATTTGGATTTTAGTAAAGCCTTCGACAGAGTACCTCACAAGAGACTCTTAAGAAAAGTGGCAGCTCATGGTATAGGAGGTAAAGTTCTAGCATGGATAGAGGCATGGCTTACCAATAGAAAGCAGAGAGTTACCATTAATGGAGTGAAATCTGAATGGGGATTAGTCACTAGTGGCGTTCCACAAGGATCAGTTTTAGGCCCTCTCCTGTTCATAATTTACATTAATGACCTTGATGAAGGGATTACTAGTGACATGAGTAAGTTTGCTGATGATACAAAGATAGGCCGTATAATTCACTCTGAGGAGGATATCAATGAACTCCAGGACGATTTGAACAAATTAATGTCTTGGTCTGAAAAATGGCAGATGAAGTTTAATGTGGATAAGTGTAAGGTACTTGCCCTTGGTAATGAAAATAACCCTCGAAGCTATAATCTAGGTGAAGTAGAGCTTGGTCATACAGAATGTGAAAAAGACTTGGGAGTCATGGTGAGCAGAAATCTAAAGCCAAGACAGCAGTGCCTTAGTGTGCACAACAAGGCCAACAGATTACTTGGATTTATCTCAAGAAGTATAAGTAACAGAAGTCCAAAAGTTATTTTGCAGCTCTATACATCACTAGCGAGGCCTCATTTAGATTATGCTGCTCAGTTTTGGTCCCCTTACTACAGGATGGACATAGACTCGTTAGAGAACATACAGAGAAGAATGACTAAAATGATTTTCTGTGTAAGGAACCTCCCGTATGAAGATAGACTTAAAGCCTTAAATCTCCACTCTCTGGAGAGGCGTAGAATGAGGGGAGATATCATTGAAGTGTATAAGTGGATGACGGGCATAAACAAGGGAGACATTAATAAAGTACTGAGGGTGTCGAACCAGGTAAGAACCAGGAATAATGGATTTAAGTTGGATAAATTTAGATTTAGAAAGGACATAGGTAAGTACTGGTTTTCTAACAGAGTTGTAGATGCGTGGAACAATCTTCCCAGTGGGGTGATAGAGGCTAGGACCTTGGGTAGCTTTAAGAAGAGACTGGACAAATATATGAGTGGGAGGGGCTGGGTTTGATTGGTGTCAAGGGGTACAGGAGTTATTTCTTGAGTAGCTTTGGGTAGATGTCGTTTTGATAAGGACCTGCCTCGTATGGGCCAGTAGGCCTTCTGCAGTGTTCCTACATTCTTATGTTCTTACGTTTTTATGTTCTTGTAACCCCTTCTCCTGTATATATTACTAAATTTAAAAGGAGAAACTTTTTTGTTTTTCCTTTTGGGCCACCATACATCGGTGGGATACAGCTGGTTTGAGAGAAGTAGTAGTATTGAAAGAAGAAGGAGTACATATTCACCTATCAGTATGTATATTTGTGTTTGTGACAGTATGATAATTATTTCTATACTTAATCTTTGTGTCTGAACAACAATTGGCTATGAAATCCAAACATATTTTTTTTTTTTTCAACAAGTCGGCCGTCTCCCACCGAGGCAGGGTGACCCAAAAAGAAAGAAAATCCCCAAAAAGAAAATACTTTCATCATCATTCAACACTTTCACCTCACTCAAACATAATCACTAAACATAATTATCATACATATTATCATATGTGTACATGAATGGTGCAAACTCTTCCATACAACCAATCGCAGCAGGAGTCCCACAGGGAAGTGTCCTTGGACCACTCCTCTTTCTCATCTACATCAATGACCTACCGAATGCATCACAGCCACTCAAACCCATATTATTTGCAGGTGACACTACATACTTCTTCTCACACCCAAACCCAGCCATACTCGCCAACACTGTCAATGCTGAATTGCAGAAAATATCCACCTGGATGATGATGAATAAACTTACCCTAAATACTGACAAAACCTATTTCATTCAGTCTGGAACCAGAGCTGCAAATGTTCCACTTACCAGAACACTAAATGGATCACCCATCACAAGACTCACAGAGGAAAAATTCCTAGGAATCCACCTAGACAGTAGCCTCATATTCCAGACATACAACAAATTTCCAAGAAAATCTCTAAGACAGTAGGCATACTATCAAAGATATGGTACTATGTTCCACAATCTGGTCTCCTTGCATTGCATCATTCACTCATCTACCCTTATCTCACAAATGGAATTTGTGGATGGGGATCAACAACATCTAATCACCTAAGGCCTCTAATAACCCAGTAAAAGGCTGCAATCAGAATGATAACAAATTCCCACTCCCAACAGCATACTCCATCTCTTTCAAAAGTCCAAATTTGCTCACCATAAAGAACATCCACACATATTCATGTGCCTACTACATACATAGAACAATACACGCAAACATAAACCCTCCACTCAAACTTCTCACCAACCTTAACAGGACACATAATCATAACACAAGACACAGATCTCTTGTTGATGTACCCCATGTCCATATCACACTGTGTAAAAACTCTATGCACATAAAGGGCCCCAAAATCTGGAATTCATTACCAGAACATACTAAAGTAGCCAGGCCTGAAAATCAATTTAAGACTCTTCTAAAAAACCACTTACTCCCCCAGGACTAAAAATCAATCAATATTTAACATTACCAATAATTCTCCCAATTATTTAAATCTTTAAACTTCAAGACAACATACAGTAAATTAATCATCTTGTTTGTTATACATTGTAATGCAACAAATTTGTACAACTATAATGCTTCAATATCGAAATGTTCAAATTTCATTGTTTCAAATACTCAACTGTACTTTTACGGTAATTTTTACCACTGAACCTTTTATTGCTTGTTAATTTAAGTTCATTTTAAGCCTGCCCATAGTGCTTTGCATACAAGGGGCTTTTGGCATGTTCACCCAACTACTATAATTCCTTGTACAACTATGTATCATGTCCAAATAAACTATATGAATATGAATACCATAAAAATTAAGAAAATTAAAAAATATATAATATATATTATATATATATATATATATATATATATATATATATATATATATATATATATATATATATATATATATATACATATACATATATATATATATATATATATATATATATATATATATCTAATCTATCTATCTATCTATCTATCTTTAACATTTCTGCAAGTGGCAGAAATGTGAGCATCTAGTGCCAACTTCACAGCCTTATATCTCGGTATGTACTGACCCTAAATTTTTTTTATCTTATTACACACAGAAAATTGCCCTCTTTGTTTTAATTTTTTTTTTTTTCAAAATATGTATTCGGAGCGCTAGCAGTAAAACATAGATCAACGGTTGACAGTTAAAGGGTTAAATACAGTGGAACCTCGGTATTCGAACAGCTCCCTACTTGAACAATTCAGTATTCAAAAGCTTTGTTTGGTAAAAAAAAAAATCACTCAGTAGCCAACTGTTTGCTTGGCACTCGACCCAACAAACACGACCTACCAGAACTTTGCTGTAAACTATTTCACGTTTCTTCCCATTTTTTGGTGTTCTTTTTATATTATTTATATAAATAAGTCACCATGGGGCCTATGAAGATTAGTGATAACAGCCAACCAAAAAGGAAATTGGTTGGGAAAAATTCGCTTGGTACTTAAACAGATCAGCACTCAAATAGCCTTCTGGAACAAATGAAGTTCGAGTACTGAGGTTCCACTGTATGTGAAGAACAGAAGAGCCAATTCTGCAGCCAGGGAAATATTCATCTTTCGTGAGAATGTGGGCAAGATAGTGTCATTTATGGTAACGTAGTACATGCTGCTTAGGCAGGAAGACAAAATGTGACTCCTGACTTACTGTATTAAAAATTTATTAATGTTCTAGTGGTCTATTGTCAAAAAACTTGATTTAAGTTAATCCATAACATTTTAAGTATGGCATCATTTATGCAAAGTACATACATAAATGAACCTTTCAGAATTTCTGGCAGCAAGTGCCCATCTCGGTTTTGATGATTACTGTATATAAAACAAGTCATGCATGTCCTAAGAAGCAACTAAAATGCCAGGAGCAAGGGGCTAGTAACCTGTTCTCCTGTATAAATTACTAATTGTAAAAATATGATTTTGTTCTGTTTTGGGTCACCCTGCCGCAGTGAGAGGTGGTCAGTGAGTTGAAAAAATAAACAACCATACATTAAGAGTAATGAGTGAGGGGTGATGTTTAGGAAATTATACACAGAAAACATATGCTAGTACAGCTGAGGCTTATAATGAAGGTGTGTTTTAATAAACACTGCACTGTTATTGTAGAGATTTTACCGCCAGAAAGTGAGAACATCTCCATCTGTATTTTTAATACAAAGCTTAACATACGGCCACTACTTACCATATGCATAAAAATGAACAAAGCTTTAAACAAAACACTTCATGCACTTAGTACTTACATTGTTTGTAACCTATATGTGGAAGTCTCGTGATTGGTGTGTTACGATCCTTCATGAACTTGTGAAGCTTAGACATGAAGTCCACCTCTATGAGACGGTTTAAGGCTGGCGTTGAGAAGTCATTTTTGACCTGTGATAAATGCGCCCGTGAACTACTTTTTCGGTCCAATACTCTGAGACCATTGGGTTTCGCAGTGAGACCTGGTTTGCCTTTAAGACGGGGCCGGATATCTTCTGATGTTTCTGACGATTCTGACTCTGAATCTGTTGGTTTCTTCCGTTTCTTTCTCGGTCGACCTTGAAGCTTAGGTGCTGTTGGTGGTATGTCTATTATCAGCCAGTACAGGTCTAGTGTACTGTTGTCAATTACTTTTGAGTTTGGAATAAAAAAAAAAAGAGGCTCATAAAGAAAATGCAAAATGCTGTAATGTTAAAACATGTAAACATTTAAATGCTGTATCTACAAAAGCCCATGTATTAACTATCAGAGTATATTAGAAATCTTAATTCTGTTGTAAAACTGAGTGAGCATCAGAAACATTGATTACCTAATAAGCTCAGACAATGAGTGATTAAAAATAATATCTAATAAACCAAAAATTAAAAACCTATAAGAAGACAGGGATTGTTTCCAGATGCTGGGCACTTACAGAGATGATTACATAGTAGGTCATGACCTTCCAGTTCAGGGTAGTCAAATACATCTCTGCAGAAGAGCATCCGTGTTCGTCTTGAAGGAACCACAAAACCACCTAATGCCACCACAATTCGACTTCGCATGTACTCCTCTTCCACGCCCTCTAAACGCTTGAGCAGACCACGCATCCGACAGTACTTGTCAAATGCCAAGATGATAATGTGCAAGCTGTTTGGCTCAACAACATCACCTAGTAAGAATAATAAATACACATGAATTTTTTTCATCAACACTCATGAGCAGCTGGGTCAATACGAGAACATTTATAAGCTTAAACTGCTATGTGACAATCAACTGTAGTAGGAGTCCCCCTATCCCAACATTACTCTATTACAAAAATCCACAACTATACACTTCAAAAATATATAGCATGAACTACCATCATCACCTGTAGATTAACTGTAGACAATTCTGGGGGTCAGCACCCCTGCAGCCCAGTCCCAGACTAGGGCTCCTGGTTGATGGCCTGATCAAGTTGGCAGACGGTGCTGGCAGCATGCACTCCAAAATAAACACCACAGCCTGGCTGATCAGGAACTGACTTGAGGAACTTATCATGTCTTCTTGAAGACAGCAAGGGATCTGTTGGTAATTCCCTTTATGCATAAAGGGAGGGTGTTGAAAAGTCTTGGCCCCCTTTAAATACACATTCAAGGATCACAACAATGTTACAATCACAGCCAAAAAAAAATAATAGGCTAGATAACTAGAGCCTTCAACACAAGAGATGCCAAGTTAATGATATTACTCCTCAAATCACTCATTCTCTCTATTCTCTTCTCTCTATTGCTGCACTCTAGCAGTCTCTTTTAAGGACAGGCAAAACTGCAGAGCCAGAGAATATACAAAGCAGGGGTGTGCCAAAGTATTGGTGGCAGTATCAGCTCATTTTGACAGTACAGCCTCTCCTCACTTAACGATGGAGTTCCGTTCCTAAGACCACGTCAGTAAATGAGTTTGTCACTAAGTGAGGAGTATACTATAAGGGTAATGGGTTTGTGTCAGCCATCTCTGATATAGTTTTAATGTCACCTTTGCACCATTAACAACATTTCTGATATATTTCTGAATGTTTATACAGTAGTGTACTGCACAGTGGAACCTCTACTTACAAGTTTAATCTGTTCCATGGCCTTGTTTGCATCTGGATTTGCTCATTTGCAGAGTCAATTTTCCTCTCAGGAGGCACAACAAGACACTTCAATATTTTGCTAATATCATCTATATGGCTTATTTGTTTATCACAATTCATCTAATATGACATAATAAATAATATAACATAGAAACTTGATATATACTCAAGAACGAATGAAATAAGTTATAACGTGACAAGTGGAGGTGGCCACAACCCCTCCCGCATTGTTGTGGTAATCACTGCCATCTAGCGACGACCTTTTGAAGCTGTCTATTATTATAATTATTATTATATAGCACAGGTTCGCCATCACAAATCCGGCAATCAGTTATTCGGTTCCTTCAGTTATTTGGCACTAATTTTGGCTAGCAGAATTTCAAATTTCCAGGGTCGCCACACCAACCTGCTGGTACTGTTTGGTGGCGCTACTTGCTGCATAAGTCATTCCAATTTCTTTTTCTCCATTTATTGTTTTAACCTGCTTACTTTTAGCCCTAGCCATGGTTCCAATGAATAAAAGAAATGCTTCTTATTATGTAAAGCACCTACACAGTACATTATCCATTAAAGATAAGGTGGCTTTGAAGCCACTATCGGTTGCAATGAGCTCAGTCTCATGAAGCAGGAGAATATGCTTTATTATTATGCTAATATCAACACTACAGCTTATTTGCCTATCACAATTGATCTAATATGACATAATAAACAATATAAATAACATAAAACATGTTAACCCTTTGAGGGTTTTGGTCGTACTAGTACGTTTTACGCGTAGGGGTTTTTGACGTACTAGTACTCATAAATTCTAGCGGCCTCAAATCTAGTGGGAGAAAGCTGGTAGGCCTTCATATGAAAGAATGGGTCTATGTGGTCAGTGTGCACAGTCTAAAAAAAATCCTGCAGCACACAGTGCATAATGAGAAAAAAAAAACTTTGACCATTTTTTTTAATAAATCGGCGACTTTGCAGTGTATTTTCGTATGGTATTTATTGTTGTATTCTAGTTTTCTTGGTCTCATTTTATAGAATGGAAGACATATTACAGAAATTGAGATGATTTTGACTGGTTTTACAATGAAAGGTGCCTTGAAATTGAGCTCAAAGTAGCAGAAATGTTCGATTTTTACCAAACTTCAAAAGTAAACAAATCGTGCCAAGCGTGCAATACACATCAACTGGTGAGTCTAATATTCTTTTACAAGTGCACCAATAATATTTATACCATTTTTTACACTAATGCAGTAGTCTGCATAACAGTAAATCTTATATTTTTTGTGAGAATAAAAATTCAAAGTGGAAAGCAAAAGAATATAAGAGGGGCCTTGAGACGTGACTAATGACTAGAGGAAATGTCATTTTAGTGCCAGGAATGTCTTTCTTGTTTATTCTGGACCCTATTTGGGAAATTGGCATCTTTTGAAATTTGTGTGAAATTGGCAAAATTGCTAAATTCTGACCACTGTACTGGATAGTTGAATTTATAAATGGGTGGTTTCTTGCACCCATTCGATAGAAAAAATGGAGTTCTAGCGAAATATTCATGTTTTTTGTCGACTAGTACAGTGAAATTGGCCGAAAATGGGGCTCAAAGTGGGCAAAATCGCCGATGCCGTAAACATCGCCGAGACCGCTAACTTTGCGAGAGCATAATTCCGTAAGTTTTCTATCAAATTTCAAACTTTTGGTGTCTTTATGATCGGGAAAAGATTCTCTATCTTTTCATAAGAGAAAATATTTTTTTTTTTTTTTAAATTTGGCCGACCCTGAGAACGAGTTTCGGAGAGGGCCTGTCGACCCTCAAAGGGTTAAAAACTCCAGAATGAATAATATCTGGCATAACACCGAGCAGTTCAACGGAGGTATGAAGAGGATATGGTAAACAAATACCATTCTCCTATCCCTGTCTTGTTGGCTTATATTAGAGAAAATGGAGTGTAACGCAGGGCTAACTGTGATATACACTCGTACTGCACCATAAACCTGAAACAAAAGTTATTTTCTCTATATAGATTATCACACATAACAGTATATGTGTAGAGAACCTAGGATAACCCAAAAAAAGTAAACGTGGCTTATTTTTAGTGCCTGGTTTGGGTTAGCCATATATGATTTTTGGTAAATATTCGATTCCCAGCCAGGGTAGAAACAAAAGGCGTATTTCTTTACACCTGTTGTCTATGTTCACCCATCAGTAAATGGGTACCTGGGTGTTAGACGACTAGTGTGGGTGTTATCCTGGGACACTGACCTAATTTTCTTGAAATACTCAGCATAACAAGCGGCTTTCTATATAGCAGTATGTCACTGATGTCAGCTAGGCCTGTGTACCGTGTACATGTACGGTAGTAAATAAAGATATTACTATTATTATTATTATTATTATTATTATTATTATTATTACTATATTATTTTCTCAGGTGTTTGTTGGGTTACCTTATTCAAACTTGGGCAATGTATGATGGAAAGATACTTCTTCACGTACACCAAAAATGAAAGAAATCAGACCATAAATAGCAGAGTTCACTTCTCAGCCATTAGCGGCTGCTTAGCAGTATACTTTTGTATGGTTGTTATGGTTATATTCTCATTTTTTCGGTCTCATTTGATAGAATGAAAGATATATTACAGAAAAAGATATGATTTTGATTGCTTTCATGACGAAAAGTACCTTGAAATTGCGCTCACAGTAGCAAAAATGTTCTATCCTTTAGCAAAGCTCAAGAGTAAACAAATGACGTCACCGTCCAATACCTGTCCGCCTGCCAGTCAAGAATGGCTTGATATTATTTATACAATTATTACAATAATGCAGCAGTCTGCATAACAGTAAATCTTCTATTTTTTTGTGAATAAAAATTCGAAATGGTAAGCAAGAGTAATATAAGAGGGGCCTGTAGCCGTGAGTAATGAACAGAGAAAATGTTATTTTAGTGCCAGGAATGTGTGCATTGTTTATTCTGGACCTATTTTGAAATTGGCATCTGTTGAAATTTGTGTGAAATCGGCCAAATTGCCAATTCCCAACCACTTTATTGGGTAGTTGAAATAAGTGAATGGGCAGTTTCTTGTACTCAGTTGACAGACTAGAAGTAAATAAGTTTATTCAGGTATACACAAATACAGTTACATAGATTATCATACATAGCAGTGTATGTATAGAGAACCTGGGATAACCCAGAAAAGTCAGACAAAGCGACTTATTTCCAGTACCTGGCTTGGGCTTGCCATATATGATTTTTGGTAAATATTTTTTTTTTCTCGGTTGTTTGTTGTGCTATCTCATTGAAACTTGGGCAATGTATGATGGAAAGATGCTTCTTAACATACAACAAAAATAAAAAAGACGGACGATAAATAAGGGAGTTCACTTCTCAGCCATTAGCTGCCTCTTTGCAGTATATTTTCGTATGGTTTTTATGGTTGTATTCTCATTTTTTTGGACTCATTTGATAGAATGGAAGATATATTACAGAAACAGACATGATTTTGATTGCTTTCATGACGAAAAGTACCTTGAAATTGAGCTCAAAGTAGCGGAAATGTTCAATTTTTGCCGATGTTCAATGAACTGTGTAAGTCAAGTTGGTTAATTTTATTAAGTGTATTCTAACCTAGCCACTCTGTAATTCGGCAAACTCAGTAATCCGGCACACTACAGGTCCCAATGATGCCGGATTTGTGGAGGACCTGTACATTATTATTATACATGTATTATTATATGTATTATTATTATATTATACAGTGGACCCCCGGTTATCAGCTGGTTCTGTTATCAGCCAACTCGGTGATCGGCCGGGTTTTCAGCGCCCAGTTATCAGCCGTTAATTCGGTGATCAGCCATTTAGGACGCATCCATCCGCCGGCTGGGGCCACTTGCGCATAAGTTTGGCCGTGTCTCTCGGTGGCTGAGGAAGCTTCTGCTCATACAACCAAGCATTTTGCTTATTTCCCATTGTAGTTTGTGTTTTTTGCAGTGCAACTGTGAAATAAGTAACCACGGCTCCAAAGAAAGTTCCTGTGGTAAAGAAAGTGAGAAACACCATGAAATTTAAGCG